CCCCTTTTGTATTCAGACTTGAAAGAAATTGCACGCTTTGAGTCTCGTTTGAACTTTGAAGCTTTAAACACACTATGTCTTCTTCAAAAACAATCTTCAACWCGAAATCTTCAGACAATCATTTGTTGAGAAAGATCTTCTAACATTCTCCCCCTCGAATGTAAAACCGCGATGATCTTGTCTTTTGACAATGTAGATTAGAAACAATAACAATCTTCAGACAACAAACTACAAGATGTGATCTTCAGACAACAAATCACAAATTTTCTCCCCAATAATGAATTTCTTCAGATAGGATCACAAACATTCTTTTACAACAAGAAATCTCTATCAGTAAACTGTTGTAATGATGATATTCACTTTCAACAACTCTCAGACATTTTAGCATCGAAATAATCTTTGTAATCATCTCCAGTCGCACTCCTTTTGAGTCTTTTGCCATTATTGAAGTTACTCCCCCTTTATCTTTACATCATATTCCCCTCATAATGTTCGGAATTGGACATTTCATTCATTATTACATACTCCCCTTTATGATGAAATGAGAATCATTCTATCATACACAAGAATGAATGAAATCCTCCGCGTAAGCTGTCAATTCATGAAATTGTAAGTAGATCTTTGTAAATCCACTTATTTAATCTTTTCAGATTAAGGGAATGGGAAGATAACAATCAATTTCAACGTATGAAATTATTTTCAATCTTATAAAAAGATTGGCCGGTGAGTATAACAAATATATTCAGTACAACGGATGTACTGTATGTATGAGACTTTTTTATGCTCATCTCACCAGGTCTTCCATTCAATCATCGATAGCTTAAAGATAGCATATCTATGAATGTTTCGGCAAATTAACAAATAAAATGCAATCTGTGTAGTGTAAAAAAAATAAAGCAACATATGCTTCTGTTAAGGCTAAAAAAGATAAACCGTGTGGACTACACAAATTTATCAGACTCAATTAGTGATCAAGAAGACTTGAAGGGGGGGACATATATCCTTCTGATTCAATATCAACTTTCTCCGAATGAGAAATTGATAGATGATGAGCTGCATGCCCCAAGTGTTATTGAAACACTAATCTGTTGATAGATAAATGAGTAGCTGGTGGGGTTGTGACAAKAATTGGCCTAGGCTTTGCCTTTTTCAATATTAGTCTCGAAAGAATTGAGAACTAATAGATTATGTGGTATGCCCGGATTTTAGAAGTTTGGAACAAGATTCTTATGTTCTATTAACCCTGACACAACTCTCGTCAATTCTTTTGCCTCACAGCAACTACCCCTCTCATTTTCATTTTAGTCTCAACACACAAAACCTTTTGTATATAAAGCTCACTCAGATATGGTTGTCCTCATGGGTAGGTTTCGGTTCTGACATTCCATTGAGGTATTTCTGTCACGCCCCGATTTTTTTTTCTTTTTTTTTCTTTTGAGTATCGTGACGTCATTCTTAATAACTTATGTCATGAACAAAAATACGAACTTAAAATTTCAAACACACATAATATGTTTAACATAATTCGTTACATAATTGCGGAAGCGTAAAATACTTTAACGTAATCAATCCTAATTAAAATATCTAATCAAGCATGATTCAAAACATAGTCCCGTCTTTCTTCATTCAACTCGTCTACTGACAAATGACACCTGAGATATATACATGTATAATATAAGGTAAAAGCTTAGTGAATACAATATGGTTTCATGATCACATGCACACATAAATAGTGTTTTAGTGTATTTTAGTTATTATCTTGCAAGTGAGGCATCGGCTCGTCACTTTTCTTTGTCGTATGTGGCATATTCTATGGATGAGGACTCTAAGACCTCGAAATTGCAAGCCCTCCTATCATGTCCAACCCACCCCGTACGGTGGACGAATATTGCCAAATCATACTAGTTGCATATCATTTATTTGCAATACTCACTCATTAATGCAAATGATCACATGCACACATAAACAGTGTTTTAGTGTCTTTTAATTAWTATCTTGCAAGTGAGGCCTCGCCTCGTCACTTTTCTTTGCGTATGTGGCGTATTCTATGGACGAGGACTTCAAGACCTCGGAATTGCAAG